AAACTGTAGAGAGCAAGGACTGAAGCCCTGAGACCAGTTGGGAGGCTATTTCCGTTTTAAAAAATGGATGATAGATGGACCACTAAAGGGTGGGTGAACAGCAGATAAGTGTTGTATGAGCGTATGGACTAACTTGTCTATCTCTGCCTGTGCTGAAAGTGTGTCTTGTCTGGAGTTGTTGAGTATTGATAGAATGATGCAATTTTAGTCATGAGACTGTGGTCCCTTGAGATTTCAGCACCCCAGCATTTTTAGTGACTAAAATAATGAAAATGTTTTGCACTTGCTTTTTGCCCAATATTCCTTGTTCCCACAACAAAATTATTTGTTGCAAACAAACAGTTGCTGATGTCCTGTTTCTTTGTTAAACGGGGAGATAACTTCAGGGTCACAAAAAGGTTTGCAAGAAGAAATGAAGGCCTTTAAGGATATTGTTACTAGCTGTTGACTCCCAGAGGTCTAGTTGTTCCAGGTGTTACCTGAGACGGAAGAAACACAGGCTTTTCCCTTGGTTCCCTGAAACTTCCCCTCCTCTACTCCCCAGCCACATTAAAAGCCCACTTTGTTGTTGTTGTTGTTAAGGTGGAGTTGAGAGTTCCTACCTTCTGCCTTCTTGCTTTGGTTACACTGAATAAACCTTTCTCCATCTCCAAACACCCGTGCATCAATGTTGGCATCAGCTGCCCATTGGGTACACAAGCCTGAATCTGGGGTTCTATGACAGTTCTGGCGACCATGGAAGAACCTTGTGCCCATGGCCGGGCAGTCCCAGCCAGGATCTGCATGCACAGGGAGTCCCCAAAGCTGCCCAGGCGCCTTGCCTGGGGTACACCCCTCACTGGTTCCTTTCCTGCCAGTAGTGACCACTTTTGGTACAAGGATCACTTGGAGTGAAGACATGTACCTGACTTCGGTGTACTTTTGGATTTGCATTTCCTGGGTGAGTCACCATGACCTTTGTGACAATTCTCACTGGATAGTGATCTGGATAGCACCCCACTTGACCCTAGTTTCATTGCACAGGAAGGACAATAGATAGGCCCAGCCTTACCTGAGTGTGGCAACTGTCTAACAGATCCAGGGGCAGGGAATGTGGCTTTAATGACTGCCTCAACTACTGACACTGTGCCTTGTGTTCCTGAGGAATATGTTTCTTTTCCCTTCCCTTCCCTTCCCTTCCCTTCCCTTCCCTTCCCTTCCCTTCCCCTCCCCTCCCCTCTCCTCCCCTCTCCTCCCCTCTCCTCCCCTCTCCTCCCCTCTCCTCCCCTCTCCTCTTCTCTCCTCTTCTCTTCTCTCCTCTCCTCTCCTTTCCTTTCCTTTCCTTTCTTTTTGAGACAGAGTTTCCCTCTGTTACCTAGGCTGGAGTGCAGTGGCACTGTCTCAGTTCACTGCAAACTCCCACTCCCGGGTTCAAGCAATTCTCATGCCTCAGCCTCCTGAGTAGCTGGGATTACAGGCATTTACCACCATAGCCAGCTAATTTTTGTATTTTTAGTAGAGCCATGGTTTTGCTGTTGGCCAGGCTGGTCTTGAACTCCTGACCTCAGGTGACCCACTCACCTTGGCCTCCCAAAGTGCTGGAATTACAGATGTGAGCCACCATACCCGGCCTGCTCCTGAGGGATATGTTTCTATCTGCAGTCAGGAAAACCAACCCTGGGCCTGTAGGTGCATTAGGAGAGGAGATCATGGACAATGTTTATTAGGATACTCAGTGACATCTTTCTTGGTACATAATGAAAGTGTTACCAAACACTGGACAAATTCCCTAAAACTGTTGCCCAGGGTCTCCCAAGGAATTCTGGAAGGAGAGTCTGTCTGTCGGGGACAGGGTGGTCTCTGAAGCAGATTTGCCAGGATTCCTGATGACACAGGGTACTTCTTCAGATATACTTTGGGCTGCTCATCACCACGTGCTTAGAAATGTGTCCGTTACTTTAAGGGTTAGAGCTAATGAAACGTGCTGCTATCACAGCACAGCAAGTCTTTGGATTCTGTAGCTAAAGTTGTAAGTTGTTTAGATAATGGGATCGCATTAGATTACCTGCTGGCTGAATAAGGCCAACTCCTCCTGTTTCACTTATATTAACACCTCAGCTGAAGTTGAAATGCATGTAAATACAATAAGAGAGCAAACTTCATGGTGGCAACAGATAAAAGAAGATTAACTAGGATTAGGTGATTGGTATTCTGGATTGTTTTCTTGGATCTCACAAGGGATCCGATCTATATTTTCTGGTATCATTACTTTTGGCTCATCCATCTATCTTATCGTTATTGTAACTCATGTTTTCATTAATGTCATCATCAAATATAGATTAAGATGCTGTTCCAAGACTATAATAGGTAACGGCACCCAGATAATGGAATTGCAGTATGCAGGATATGGGCCCGGCCGCTGGAAATACTTTCAACTTCAGGTGGATAGGTGCCGCTCTTCAGTTTCCACACCTTTGCACCTTTTCAGCAGGAAGTAGCCAGAAAAGAATGACACCCCTTTTCCTACATAAATGAGGAATGGAAAAAGGCAGTGGGGATTTGTAACAGGGCCCCTTGAGCTCTCAGCATCCCAGCATTTTTAGTGACTGAAATAATGAAAATTCTGATCAGGCCCTTGTGTTTGCTTGCACTTGCTTTTTACCCAATATTCCTTGTTCCCACAACATAATTATAAACTGCTGATGTACTGTTTCTCTGTCAAGCAGGGGGGGTTAACTTCAGGGTCACAAAGAAAGTATCCAAGAAGAAATAAATGTCTTCAAGGATGTTGCAACAAGCTGCTGACTCCTAGAAGTCTGGTTGTTTCAGGTGTTATCTGAGAGTGAAGAAACACAGACTTTCCCCCCTTGGTTCCCTGAAACTCCCCGTCTCCTACTCTGTAGCCACATAACTCTCTGCTTCTTTTTCTTAAGGTAAATAGGAGAGATCTTGCCCTCCTGCCTTCTTGCTTTGACCAAATTAGATAAATGTTTCTCTATTTCCAAGCACCTGTGTGTCAGTGTTGGCATCAGCTGTACATTGGGTACACGAGCCTGAAGTTAGGGTTCTATGACAGGATGGGGTGGTGAATGCAGACGCAATTGAATTATAGAGACAATGATCACATTTTCTGAATCTCAAGGCCAGATAGTTCTGGTGTTTCATGAGTAGGAGACAGAGCTTAAAGCCAGTGATTTAGGTGTTGAGCAATTCAGGAATTTCTAGGACATTTTGGTAAGACAAAGTATCTGATTGGTGTTAGCCATGGAGAATGCTCCCTCTTGTGAAATGTTGAGAAGGGAAGAGGGAGTGGGGGTGGGTGGAATGGAGCCCAGGGGCTAGGAATGAGGCAATCTCTCTTTTGTGGAAGTCCTCAGTAGGTTGTGTGACTGCTGCTCTCCAACCTGGAAAAAGAAGACAGCGGCCATGGGAGACATTTAGGATTTTGTCTCAGACTCTTCCCAGAGATGATCCAGGAATCCTGCTTCCTGGTGTCCTCCACAAAAGGGAGATGTGTTTGTTGCCTTGGCAGCATAACTTGGTGTTTTAAAATTTTTCTGATAAAACCTTTAACTGGAAATCAGCCCCATGGGGGAAATTCTGAGATCCATGACAGAGTGAAGCGTAGCCATTATACCAGGGACTTTGCAAATGTACTGACAAGAGTTCAATGACCAGCTCTGCCACTTTCCAGCTGTGTGGCCCTGGAAACATTACTGCTCTGTTTTATCCTTGTTTCCTCATCTACCACTGCTTCCTAAACTTGAGTGTGCCCACAAATCACCCAGGAATCTTGTTACGAGGCTGGTCATGAGATTCCGCATTTCTAACAAGTTCTCAGGTGACCTGGAAGCTACCTGTTCCTGGAGCATGCTTTGAGTAGTAAACTGATTTTTTAGGGTTAACCTGAGGTTTATGTGTATTATTTATGAAGAGCTTAGCATGGGGCCTGGCATAATGGCTTCGAGTTATTGTTCCTTGGGCAATGGGAAGGAGCTGACTTGGACTTTGGGGGAGGACCCTGAATCAGAGTGGTAAATAAGGGACAGTGCCCACATGAATGCTCCCTCTTCAATTCTGCCCTCCATCCCGGAGGAAGTCTGGAAAAATTATGGATTGGGGGGATTACAATGCAATGGAAGAGACCTTTTGGCGAGACCAAGGATGCCTCTGTTTCATTCCCACCTTGTGATCTTAAAGAAGTCCCTCCCCATCTGTGGGCCCTCTTGAAATAAATGAATGAGATGATTCCTGTGTTTTTCTCCTCTCCCTCCAAGTTGTTGTAATTGGTGTTGCTTAAGGCAAACCAAAAAACTCTAGAACCAGGGCTCTTCACTCCTCTCCCCGTGTAACCCTTGGCAGGAAGATGTAGTTTAGCCTTAGTAGATAATAACTTTCATAAAAATTCATTTTTTTTTTAAACCGAGTCTCACTCTGTCACCAAGCTGGAGTGCAATGGCATGATCTCAGCTCACTGCAATCTCTGCCTCCTGGGTTCAAGCATTCTCCTGCCTCAGCCTCCCGAGTAGCTGGGACTATGTAGTGTAGTAGCGTGAGCCACCACACCCAGCTAATTTTTGTACTTTTAGTAGAGATGGGGTTTCACCATGTTGGCCAGGATGGTCTCGATCTCTTGACCTCGTGATCCACCCGCCTCACTCAGCTTCTCAAAGTGCTAGGATTACAGGTGTGAGCCACCATGCCCGGCCCACTACTTTTTTTTTTTTTTAATTAACATATCCTTAACATCCTCAGTTTCTCCCCAATTCCCCTTTCTTCCCTGGTTTCTGTTGTTTCCTTGTGTCTTATTTCACAAGACTAGAAATCCCCTCCTTGTCCAATATAGGCCCTTCCAATATCTTACCCAAATTTCCAAATCCACCCCTTTCTCCTTCAAAACCTTTATCTCCCAGTGGGTTAAGCAGTACTTCATACTAAAGTGTGAATGACTGCTCTGAATTTCCCCAGTGTATTTGTAAGTACGTGTATGTTTTAAAAAGGAGGTCTTGAGATTTTAAACTTGATTGCAACATTTATAGAATTTCGGGCACAGAGATGAAGCATTTTTAGGAGCACATCAGGGAGAATAAATGTAGGGGTAGAGGAATGAATCTCTTGTTCACAAAAAAAAAAAAAAATACCTTCTATGGACCTCAGATCAATCCCAAATCCATGGAAGGCTGTGTTCTTGTTAGAAAATCAGGTGAACTTGCACATTTTCTCACATTCTTCCTTCCTCGAAAAGTTGTTGCTGTTGCCTCTGCAGCCTCCGTAAGCAAATAATTCACATTCACCAGTTTCAGAGTTGAAAAACCATCGAATCATGTAGGCTTGACAAGGGCCCTTTTCCATAGGAAAAGAGCATACATTTGGGAGGAGATCCGTGATAGTGTCTGAAGAGAGAAAGTGTTTGAAGGAGACCAAACCCATCACCTTCCCCTTGTTTGCCTCATATGCCAGGGGCTGTGACAGCCCTGGGCACAATTGTGAGCTCATCCACAATGGCTATGCTCTGTACCTCTTTCTGCCCAGCCGTGGTCTGATCTGTTTGCACAGAAGTTGACATTTTCACTTCTGAGAGTAGCCTGATATGGTGAGAATCACAGGCTTGAGAACCCAATTCAAGTGGATTGAGATTGTAGTCAAACCACTTGCTGCTGTGTGATGTTGTATAAACCTAACTTCTTCATGTCTCCATTTCTTCATTTGTAAAATCAAGGAGTTGAACCCCATCATCTCTGAGTGCCCTTCCAGATCTGATTTTATAGGATTTGATAATAAAGATCCTCAGGTTCCTACCTCCTGTCTCATAATCAATTCTAGAATCGATATCCCGTGACAGAAGGAAAACAGACTTTGAATCTGACAGCAAGATTGAATCTCAGAGGGTTCAAACTTGTCTCAATTATCTTCTAGCTATGTGATCTTGGACAAATGACTTATCTCATTGACATTGAATTTCCTTCATTGCAAAAATGCTGGTATAATATCCACATTTTTGGTTTATTGAAGGGTTAGAGATTACCAGTGAAAAGCATTGATAAATAGAAAATAAGTCAGTAAATAGTAGCTACTCTTAATCATTCTATTGCTTAACCAATAAGACTCTTGAGAAAAGGGACCTCATTGTACTCATTTCTGCAGCCTTAGTGCCTAACACAGGCCTAGTTCTCAGTTCTTAGCAAATATTTATTAATAGACCACCACCACCACGACTGCTACCACCACCACTACCACCACCACCACCACCACCACCACTGAGCTCCTCTGGGGCAGGATTAGAAGTTTCTTTGTGCCCTCCTTGTATGTTTCTGTCACCATGTGGGCAGTTTTACTCTTCGTGGTAGCTAGTAGAACTTCCAACATTACATGAGGAAACTAAGCCCAGAGAAATGAAGTACCTGTCCTAATGTCAGGCTAGGAAGCAGTAGGACCAAGAATCAAACCCAGCATGGTTCGACTGCAAAGGCTTGCAGGTTCTCCATCCATCTTGGTTGTTGTAAAATGAGTGAATGGACAGATGAATGATCACACCTATGGTGGAACTTCAGGCAGCAACCTAGGACTTGGAAAGATTCAGGCTCTGTCTCATCCTCCTACCTGCAAGGCTAACGCTAAGGGTGAAGGAGAATGGGAAGGAGACAGAATAGCTTATCCAATCAAGGTGGGAGGTGGAGGGGCATGTTCTTAAGACATCCTAGTTGTAGCAGCATTGGCTTTTAGACCCTTACAGGTGACTCTGTAGGGGCTGGAGTCCCATCTGCTCTTAATTTTCTCAGTCTTGCTTCTCTGCTCTTCCATTCCATTAAACCAAAGGAAAATCACTTGACTTGTTTCTTTTTTATGTAAAGTAGATAATGACACCGTGTGTGTGTGTTTTGAGTGTGACAGAAGCTGTTCTAAGTGCTTTACAAGAACCTATTAAGAGCTAAGTTATACTGAGAGCTTGACATACATCAGACTATTTGACATACATCAGAAAAGGTGGTTAACCTTTTTTTTAGAAGAAACTGATGCTCAGAAAGGCTATAAATGATGTTCCTGAGGCACAGAGTTTGTAAGTAGAGGAGCCAGGACCAGAACCCAGGTGTGTCTGACTCCAGGTATGCTCATCCTGTAAACCACTACATTCTTCTTACTTAAGGCAGATGTTTTCAAACTCGAATATGCATCAGAATCATCTGGAAGGCTTGTTAGAGAGACGTACCTCCACAGTTTCTGATCAGGTGGGACTAGGAACTAGTATGTTTCTAGTTGATGCTGCTGCTGCTACTGCTGTTGGACTAGGGCACAAACTCCAGACCACTCATCTATAGGGTTAGATGTTTAGGGAGGTTTAGGGTTCCATTTATATCTAAGAATCTATCATTAATAGCTCCATGTACATACATGCAAAGAACTATGCTTGCATGTGCAAGGATGTTCACTGGCACATTGACAGTGATAATCTCCAGAAGGTAAGATTTCGATAATTTTTTACTTTCTTTCTTACCCTTTTGTGTATTCTAATATGCATTTTTATACAGGGAATCCTACTGGCTGCTTAAAAATCTTGGAAACTGCTGCCTACCATCCCCATTTCCAGCAGATTATCTTAGCTATAACTGCACTTCATCGCCTCACTTCCATTTGCAGATTCCAAGCTTCCACCGAGAAAGTGGTCCAGGAAGGAGCCGTTTCTGACAAGTGCATCTAACTTGGCTAAGTTCCTCACTCTCAAATTCTGGCTCTGATCTCCTTTTCCCAACCTCTCCTTGCCTGCCACCAGCCCCACCCCAGATGTTGAAGGCCCCTTTTCCTGCTTTACTTATTTTATTTTCTATAGCACTTTGATCATCTATCATGTGTATTAGGTATTGTATGTCTCTCTCCCATTAGCATCTTAATTTCACAAAGGCAGGGTCTTAGGCTCCTTGCTTTAACCCCAGCACCTAGGACAGTGCCTGGCACATACTATGTGCCCAACATATATCTGATGAAGTGACTTGAACTGAATTGACTCTCAATCCAGTAAGGTAAGAAATGGGTTCTGTTGGTGCTGCACCACCTCCCCCACCACTACCCACCCTCAGCCTGATTCCCAGTCTACTCTTTGAGATCCCACATTTTATACCAACCTTGTGATAGTTCTGATCGAAGCTCTAGGCAGAGAGTGAGAATCAGGAGAAACGAGAGAGAGGCCTGAAGCTGCATGGTGCCACTCAGCCAGTGGCTCAGCCTGGGGTTGCCATTTTAGGGAGAAAAGGGACCAAGGGGAGGAGCCTGGCCCCACATCCAGCTCATTCACCCTTAACTCAGGCTTTTCATGGGGCTGGGCTGCCTCAGGAACAGAGTGTTCATCCAAAGCACAGCTTCGCCTCTCTCCTCCTGGCCTTATCTGATCTGGCCAACCAGGCTACTTTAGTACCACTTCAGTGTGGAAGCCCTTTTCACAATACTAAAAAGACAGCAGCCATTTTTTAGTACCTTTTATTTTCTAGGCACCATGCAAAAATAGTTTTCACACATTGCTTCCCTTAAGTCTCTACAAGAATCCCACAACACTTAAAACTCCCATTTTGTAGATAAGAGGAGGTTATGCTACTTTGACCACTGTTACATTTACAGCAAGTTTCAGAGACAGGGCTGAGACCCGGGTCTGTCTGCTTCAGTGCTCTCGTATCACTCATTCATTCAACAAACATTCATCAAGTACCCACACGGCACCAGGCAAAGTATTAGATGCTGCCTCCATCCCATCTGGGTGCTCCCAGGTAATTATGGGAACAACACACACAAACACATTGGAAGTCAGAAACAGTCACCTACTTGGAACAGACTCAGTATATTTTAATAGAAATATCAAAAGCACCATGTAGAAGGAGGGCTCAGCTTTGTTTGGTTCAGAGGGTCATGCTCCCTAGAGACACACCCCAGAATCCAGAACATTCCACCTGTCTCCTTTCCTTGATTCTCTAGAGATCCAATTTCTTTTGAAAGACAAAGCCAGCATGCTTTACTGAAATTTAGTGAGCCTCAGATTTAAATTCTGAGGCTGTGATGGGTCCAGCTATTCTTTTTCAAGAAGCATTCTATCATATATTTATTGTTATTTATTTTTAATTGAGAAATAAAAATTGTATAAAGGCAGTCCCCAATTTACAATGGTTTGAGTTACAATGTTTGACTTTATGATGGTGCAAACACAATGCGCAGTCAGTAAAAACAGTACTTTGAATACCCATACAACCATTCTGTGTTCACTTTTAGTACAGTATTCAATAAATTACACGAGATATTCAACACTTCGTTATAAAAAGAGGTTTGTGTTAGATGATTTTGCCCAACTGTAGGCTAGTGTAAGTGTTCTGAGCAAGTTTAAGGTAGGTAAGACAGCTATGATGTTTGGTAAGTTAAGTATATTAAATGCATTTCAACTTCTGATATCTTCAACTTAGGATAGGTTTATTAGACTACAATCTCATCATAAGTTGAGGAACATTATATATTTATGATGTACAATATGATGTTTTGAAATATATGTGTGTGTGTATATATAGAGAGAGAGAGCAATTTTCCCTCTTAGCAATTTTCAAGTGTACATTATGTTATTAACTATAGTCACCATGCTGTGCAATAGGTCTTCACAACCTGTTCCTTTTGTCTAACTGAAATTTTGTACCCTTTGTTGACCAGCATCTTCCCAATACTTCCCACCCCCCAGCCCCTGGTATCCACCATTCTACTTTCTGCTTCTGTGACTTCAACTTTTTAGATTCCACATGTAAGTGAGATCACCTGGTATTTGTCTTTCTGTGCCTGGTTTATTTCATGTAACCTGCAGGTTCATCCACGTTGTCACAAATGGCAGGATTTCCTTCTTTCTAAGGGCTGAGTAGTATTCCATTGTGTATACGTACCACATTTTCTTTATCCATCCAGTAATGGACACTTGGGTTGATTTAAGTCCAGCTACTCTTGACCTGGGCAAGTCATTTAACCTCTTCCAGCCTCAGTTTTCTCATCTATAAATTGGGGTTAATTATGTGGCTTTAGCATAGTTCCCAGAATTGGTGCAAGTGTTCAATAAATATTCAAATGCCTTACACATTGTGAATGCACACACAGGTACATGTCTTTTGCAAGGGATGTGTGTGTGTGTGTGTGTGTGTGTGGCAATGGTGCCTTTTTGAAAATGAGGGTGCCAACTGAATCAGCAGCATACTTAGTTCCTACAGAAATGTTTTCCCCACCTTTGCATGTTAGTTATAGCTCTTCCTTTTCTTTAAATTCCCTGGCCATGATACTCATTCCTTGGCCATTGCTTTCTCTAACTATAGCTTATACAATTGTTGGTCAACCCTCTCATTATCTGTTGATCTTTACTGTTTACCCCACATTTATTTCCTTGAAGGCACCTCTGAAGCCTACATTGCAACATCTCTGTGGTCCAACTTCTTTTGCACCTTGAGGGGTCCACCAGCATTATCCTTGATATCTCCTTCCTTAGCCCTCTTGGGTGATCAAATCTGTTCATCAGAAAACAAAACAATGATAGAAGGAAGAAAGGAATAGACTGTCACTTGTGCAGGCAGAGGAAAGGCGGGAGTGCCTATTGATGCTCCTTGGCTGAGAGCTTCCTACAGTGTTGCCTCCTCCGGGGCAATGGATCAGGAAGTGAGAAGCTTCCTTTAAACATAGTAATCAGGAGAGCAGGGGAGGGAGTGATACTGCCCCCAAGGACACTTGGCAATGTCTAGAGACATTTTTGATTGGGGGCACCTACTGGCTTCTAGTATGTTAAGGCAGAGATATTGCTAAACATCCTATACTGCTCAGGAGAGCCCTCACATTTGGCATCAAATGTTAATCATGCCAAGGTTAGGAAACCCTGCAGAAGAACAATAGATAGAAACACTTTTTGAAAAAATTATAATAATATTTCCAACATTAACAGCATGATAAGGATCCAGTGCAGCGAGGGGCAGTGCCTGATGAGGTGCGTCTGTACTCGTTTGACCAAACAGGCCTTGTGGGTAGGTACAACAAGACCTGGCCCTTGAAAAGCTCATTCTGTACTCAGGTTGCCCTGGGGATCTTTGGTCATGACTCAGTGAATTGGCTCTTTCTCAGGAGATCTGGGTGGCAGTGTTATTGTAATTCCAGAAAGGGGAGGGCAAGTGTAAGATTTATTAAAAACATGTTAGAGCAGCTAGAAGGCAGCCCTAGCTAGTTATCTAGCACTTATATTCATTACAGGAATCTTACTAACCCTATGTCAACCATATGTGTGTGCATGTATGTGAAAAATCATTACACTATTTTTTTAAAAAATTAATAAATTCAGGAGCTACATGTGCAGGTTTGTTACATGGACATATTGCATAGTGGCAAAGCGTGGGCCCGAAGAGTGAACACTGTATACCATAGGTAATATTTCAACTCTGCTCCGCTTCCGATTCACTACTTACTTCCTTTTTTTTTTTTTTTTTTTTTTTTTGAGATGGAATCTTGCTCTGTCGTCCAGTCTGGAAGTCTGGAGTTCAGTGGTGTGATCTTGGCTCACTGCAGCTTCCGTCTCCTGGGTTCAAGAGATTCTCCTGCCTCAGCCTCCTCAGTAGCTGGGATTACAGACATGCGCCACCACGCCTGGCTAATTTTTGTAATTTTAGTAGAGACGGGGTTTCACCAAGTTGGCCAGGCTGATCTCAAGTGATCCGCCCAGCTCGGCCTCCCAAAGTGCTGGGATTACAGGCACATGCCACTGGGCCTGGCCCCAATTAACTTACTTTTGATTGAGACCCATTAATTTGACTGGTTTAAGGAAGGAGGAAGTAAATAAGAGTGGGATTTTGAAAGAATAAAGTTTCACCCTTCAGGTTCTAACCTCCAAATGACCTTTCTCTTTTCTAGAAGGAAGAAAGGGACTAACATCTTATGAGCACCATATGTCAGGCAATTAATTTAATTCTGGGAAAATATAGTAACTTTGCACCAGTATAGCTCTAGTTCCTGCCCCTTCTTTGTGCTTTTGTTGTCATATATATTACATTTATGTCTATTACAGCAGTGTTATAATCAAGAGAAGACCACACACACACACACACACACACACACACCCTTATACACACATATACACACTTTATATTTACCCACATACTTACCATTTCTGGTGTTTTTCATTCCTTCCTGTGGATCCAAATTACCATCTGGTCTCACATTCTTTCAGCCTTAAGGATAAAGTCTAGTTCGAGAGAAGCATCACCTCCTCTCAGTTTTTGTTTATATGGGAAAGTCTTTATTTTGCCTATATTTTCTTTAATTCAAATTTTTATTGAGATAATTATAAATTCACATACAGGTGTAAGAAATAATATGGTTTCCCCTAATGTTAACATTTTTAAATGTTTCCCTAGTTTCCCTAATGGTAACATATTGAAAATGGGATACACACACACACACACACACACACATATATACATACATATATATAAATTCTTTTTACTGTAAGGAATTGGCTCACATGATTATGGAGGATGATAAGTCTAAGATCTGCAGTCAGAAAGGTGGAGACCTAGGAAAACCAATGGCACAGCACCAGTACAAGTCCATGGGATTAAGAACTGGGAGAGCCAATTATGCAAGCTCCAGTCTGAGTCTGAGGGCCTGAGAGCCAGGAGAGCCAATGGCATACGTTCCAGTTCAAGTCTGAGTGTGGAGAAAACCGGTGTTTCAACTTGAAGGCAGGTAGGCAGAAAAAATATATATTTCTTACTCCGAATTTTATTTCATTCAGGCCTGCAACAGACTGGTTAAGGCCCATCCACACTGGGGAGAGCAATCTGCTTTACTCAGTCTACCAATTCAAATGTCAATGTCATCTGGAAACACTCTTACAGACACACCCAGAGATAATGTTTAACCATATATCTGGGCACCCCATGGCCCAGTCAAGATGATACATAAAATGAGCAATCACAAGTCCATTACTTGTCAACCTGGCACCCATACATATCTCCTTAGGCTATACTTAATCTTAAAATAAAAACTATTACAAGGTTATAATCCCACCTAACATGATACAATTATCCTGCAGACAATGGAAATACACCAACCCCTTCCCCAGAGAGAACATAGTTTTTGAGTGACATTTACTCCTCTTGATATCTCATAGCTTAAAATTCTATGATGTAAAATGAACAATACTTAAGTACTATGGAATAA